ATGTGCTCTTAAGATGGCTTTAAGCAGGTGTAGTTGGTAGGGGGGGCGCCTACTACTACTACTACTACTACTACTACTGCTGCTACTACTACTACTACTGCTACTACTACTACTACTACTACTAGTACTACTTCTTCTTCTTCTAGTATTACTAAGAAGACTGAACACCATACCACTACTACTTTCACTAGAAGGACTACCGCGAATAACAACTAGAAGAGCAAGGACAAGAACAAGAGTCGTAGCAGTTGCAATTCGGACTGGACGTTGGAATGGGGTCTAGGAACTGGGGTGTGAGCTACCTGCGAGATTAATGGGACTTGAGCTACCTGCGAAACTAATGGGACTTTAAGGATGCGAAGGAAGGAAGCGGCTTGGGAACGAGGGCTTTGGATTTTCGTTAGGGTCTTGACTATAAACCTTAACTCCATAATCCCAGCCCCATAAAACCTCTCTTCACAACCTAAACCCTATCAAACCCTATAACACCGCCGCAACCCTTATGCCGTATAATTAGGACTCAGGGAGCCCTGTACAACCCTTCTTAAACCTCTAACCCTAAACCCTAAACCCCAGACCCTGCAGTGCCTGGCCACAGTTGCTCCTTGCCGTGTTCAGACCTTCGTTGAAGTCCGGCAAAGCGAGGATGCCTCGAGCTCGGTTTAGGGCTTAAGGTTTAGGGTTTAGGGTTTAGGGTGGGGGGGATCCCTCAAGGGGCTCCGTTAAGGGAAGCTGAATAGATCCCCTTGAAGGATCCTTTTGAAAAAGCACTAATGGATCACTTACGGGTGCCCCCAAACGGTTCTATACGGGTTACTACACGAGTTACTATAAGGGTTCTTTGGATGGGTTTAGGGTTTAACTAGTTCGATTGGGGCTCCCTTACAGGTTCAAGGGGCGCCTGTACATGGTTGGGTTTAGGCTTGAATCGCCTGGGGTTTGGGGTTTGGGATTCCAATTTAGGGGCTCCTGCAGAAGGGATCCTGTAAGGGTAAAGTTGTTAGACGCTCTTCCAGGGTGTTGGGGTGTTTGTTGCAAAATGCTCCTATAAGGTGCTATGGGGTCTTATGCTCTACAGTGCTTTATGCAGGTCGATTAGGTTCGTTATGGGGCTTGGGTATTCAGGTTTACGGGATGTAGGAACTATGGAATTGCCGGTTAAAGGAATTGCCGCATGTAGGAACTGTAGGATCTAGGAAGCAAGGCTGTAGGCGCGGCCAAAGACTCCCAAACCCTAAAACCTAAACCCTAAAGTCCCTAAAAAAATTCTCAACTACGGACTTTCGATTAAGGATCCTTGCTGTAGCCTTGAAAGAACACTCCCTTACGGCTTGGGTTCAGGGGGCCGTGAAAATTTCAAATCTTGGCTGTCCCAGATCTTGAAACCTACACAGTTTGATGGGGAAATGAATTGTCCTGGACAAAATGGAAAAAACACCCAACGAGAACAAAAACTACGACAAACTCCCTGGTGCAACAACAAACAGACTGCATAACATGCTCTAGAACTAGGACCCAAAAAATCATCAAGCAACTGAATGAACAAAAAGCCTACTGTAAGAAATGCCTTAGAACCAGAATACCTATCAAGCAATTACGCGTAGAGAAGAAACTCTCGCCCTGGTGCGGGCTCCGGTCGTCAGCTTCTCCAAGTCCGGGACAGCCTCATGGGCGGCCTGTGGAAGGGCAGGAAAAGCTCGTCTGTTGTTGCGCAGGGCATACAATGGGTAGATGGTGTCAGATATGGCTTTATGAGTTGGTTTATCGGTTTGGGGAGTCTAGTTAATTTTGAAGCTTTTTGACGAACCTTCAGCTTTAACCTACCAGAACCTATGCGCAAATACCAGCAGAGACTTCATGGCGCCCTACAAGGAAACAGGCAGAGCCCCCAGATCATCCCAGATCGTTGGCAAAAGGCAGACCTACGCTGATTTTCAGGTTTTTTGTTTAGGGTCCATGGCTTTGAGGCAGGGTTCAGGATCGTTTAGGACTATAAGGGCCCAGAGTTTAGGTTTTTTTTGTTTCACCTCTTTCTCCCCGCCAATCAAGGGGTAAAGAACCCAGGAAGCAAACCCTACGGATCAGGGAGTCTAGGGTTCTTAGGGTTCAGGCTTTGGGGATTAGGGCTTAGGGGTTTGGGTTTAGGGTTCTGGGCAGACCGCTGCTTCGATTGAGATGCAGAGTGCCCAAAGTGCCGTCTGCGATCAGTGGCGAAAACGTACACAGGAACCCAAAGTCTTCGTTACATGGTTTTAAGTTATTAAGGGTTATTGCAAGAATCTGAGTATCAGGGCGGTGGGCATGCCAAGCTTAGAGGCGCTATCTCGATTTCCTGAATGGCTACAACCTGAAACTGCAACCCCGATAGCCTCAACCCAGATACTGAGACCCCAAGACCCAAACCTTGAGGCTTCAGGGTTTTGGGCTTAGGGCGTTGAAGTGCAATGTTTCACGGCTTGGTTTAGAGTTCAAGGCTTTTAATGAACTCGAAAATTTCGGCCCTTTGCAAGCCCAAGGCCTTGCAAGTAGCACGAGTGGCCACTCCGATCTCCTCCAAGGCGGTAGAGGAGAAAGGGGTTTAGAGATTCGGGGTGTTTGATTGCTTGAAGTGGGTTCCGGAAAGGGTTGTCTAATTAAAGGCTCTTTAAGGGGTTCTGTACGGTCTAGAGTTGAGTTAAGGGACTCCGAAGACCCTTAAAAGGCGATCCATTGTGTGATATAGGGCTTTCGGATTCAGGGTTTAGGGTTCGACACCACTGAGGTGTCCAGGAGCGTCAAGGCCCACCATATCTGATTAAATTGAGGTGCAGTCACGCACTCTAACTTAATTATGGGCTTCCCGAAGCTTTGGTTGCTGCAGTCCTATATGGCAGGTTTTCTACTTGCAAGGAGGTGCCAAGCTTGCCGACTCAACGGGTAGGATTATATGACCCAAGAATGTTCAGGGCCTCTTACTCTGCTAAACCTATAGACTGCTTCGCGGGCTCACATGCAGTGATACTTTGGGCACCCTCAAAACTGTGCCACCCCAGCGAGACCCAGGAGATTCCGGTCCCTCCCAGGAAGATACCCGCTAGGTCACTCTCAACCCGTAGCCCAGGCTCCTCGCCGCCCACTGCCGCCACGTCGATGTCTTTGAGCTCCGTGGCAGCATCCATCGTACCCTGCACGAAGGAGCAGGAACACGTGGTGTCAACAAAATACCAAAAAAAACGCTGGGTTCTGATATCTTAAACTTTAGCATTAGGCCTCATTAGGATCCTTTTCGTTAGGGCTTGTTCGTTAATTGAAGGTTCGGACTCTCTGCGGCAACCGTCATCTTCGGAAATGTTCAGACCACTTCATTTCTTGGACGGTAGGGTCGGCGACAAAACAAAGCTTGAGGATGTGGGGATAAATTGCCTTGTTCGAAAGCCGGAAAGATCCTTGGCATGAGGGCCGCTGGTATGGGTGGGGACTCCAAGAACTCTTGATTTTGCGGTCCTGTTGACTATGGACTATGGGCTCTTCCGTTGGAGCTTTCAAGTGAAAGCCTGGACCTCACAGTAGCCTTCCTGCAGGGTCAATGTCAATGTATCCATATAGTACATACTTCGACACCAAAGCTACTACATAGGAACTCCTTGCAGGACGAAGTACAAACTACACAAGTAAACCGACCCCTGGAAACCCTATAAGCCCTATGAATCCCTACGCCCTACTGAATTAAAACCCCAAACCTACACGCTGGATTCTAATAGAACCCGTACAGAACCCGAAGGGAGGGCTAAATGGTGCCCCAAGATTAAGGCTTCGAAACCTCGCGAGCCTTCTTCTCCGCAACCACGCGTACCGACATGGCCCTCATGGCCGACTCCAGAACGTTGCGGACAGCTCGGCCGTTGCCTTTGCAACAGGGTAGGAGTTCGGTCTTAAGGTGCATGATTTTGAGCTTTGGTTCATGGCTTTCTGGCTTTAAGGCTTTCAAATTTGGGGGACTTCCAAAATGGAACCCTTCAGGGGGAGACTCCTGATACTGTCGGGGGCGTCTTAGGGCAGCTCAGGGCCGGGAGTGCTTCATTCCGGCTTACCATGTAGTGTAAGGTTGAGCTGCTGGGCGAGTGCGTGCAAACTGCCTTTACGTCTCCAAGCATCTTCTGGTCACTCGCCCCTCGCTCAGCTTTCGGCCCCTTTGGACAGCTCCAAAGATGTGTCGTCTGTGGTGGCATAGCTTGCTCCACGCTGCAAGCTCGCGGATTTGCAGTGTCAAGCCACAGCAAGCACGCAAACCACATGTTGGCTGGGTGTCAGGGCCTGCGACATCTTCTTTGCACATATTCCTTGATCACTTGACTCAAATGTGTCAACTTCACGTTGCCCTTAGTAAACTCCGTCAAAGCAATTTTCGCTTCCCCTCTCTTTCGTGAAGGTCCGGCAGCCCCACAAACACTTTTTCCGCATCCTTCGCAGTGAAAGCATTGCGGGCGATCCGGCCGTAGAATACCGCGGCCAAATAAGTCTCGACAAAGATTGGATCACACTTGATGCCATACTCGTTCACGATGGATCGAACACGCCGAAGCTTGGGGATGACTGCATTCATGTGTGCGCGTGCAAGGTTGGTGCAGGTGACGACTGTTGGCTGCATGCCGCTGTCAACCAGTGTCTGGAACAAGAACATGGCAGCTGCATGACTGGGAGGGCTTGAAGAGGCGCATGCATAGATTGCGGAGTTGTAAGAATACACACTGACAGTCAGATTGAGGGAGTGCATAGTGTCTAGGACTTGAGCTGCTCCCTCCATGTCACCCAAATATGCCGCGGCATCGATTCGTGCACCATATGAAAGCTTGTCCACCCAGCCTTTGTCCTCAATTTCTGCCCAAATTTCCGCAACTTTTTCTGCGTTGTTCAGCTTTCCGAATATCTTCATCGCAACCATCAGGGTTAGTGGCTTCACCTCGATGTGCAACTGCGTCAGCCTATCGTAAATGCGATGCGCTTCCCTATATCGGCCGCAACGGAAAGCTGCATGCAAAGCTGCAGTGATAACTGGGATTGCAGAACCGGAGTACTTGTTCCAAAGCCGCACCGCGCTCAGCCAGTCACCTCGCCTGCCGGCTTCAGCAATGTGGCTACAAAGATGCGCTTCCGCAACCGACATGTTCTCGGTCCTAGACTCACCGGGAAGCGGCTGGTGAATGGTCATCCCAGTCGTCTCTCGAACCACGCTGAGTGGTCGCTGCTTACGTGAGGATGGAGCACTGAAACAGGTTCTGCGCGCCCCGAACAATGCGAAACCGAGCAGAACAGTCAGCAGGAGGCGTGTGTGGTAAGAGTTCATGATCACACAGCAGGGTCTTGCGCTTGAGCAGGCCATGGGCGACTATCACCATCGAACGATGCTCGGGCCAGGGCTCGCAGTGACACCTACATGTTCTCCTGTTTCATGTGCAGCTGTGTTGATCGTATTTAAGGGGCTAGAGATCGTTGAACCCATATTCAACCGCGCGCCTTACAGCAAACAACCTAGTCTGCAAACTTCCAACATGCCAACTCAGATGCGGAACTGCATTCAAGCATCAGTGCGGTCTAGGGTACCGTTGTCCCGGGTGGCACCACCGCACTTGCCTTGCTCCAGCTGGGCCTGGTAGAAAGGTAATTGAAGTTTAGACTGACGGCTTGGGATGATAATTCAGAACCAACACCCACTTAGGGTCATGTATGTGTGTATACACATGTGTGTATATATATATATATATATATATTACTTATGTTATCGATGTTCTCTATGTATTACTTCTTTGCTTCTGTGAAAATTATACATGTATATATATATATGTATATACATACATACATACACACTTATACTTTTATCGATTTACTTATGTATTTTTACAAATATATGTGTATATAAACATGCCCCTAATTCAATGAAAACTTAGGGTCGAGGATTCAGGACGTGCATTTAGCTCAAGGTATTGTCGCAAGTGTTCCTCATAACAAACAAGAGGGAGAGAGGTGAGCAACGAATCTGGTATGTGACGAGCATAGATGTAAATGGAACATGACAGGTTCAGACACATCGGCCTTAACATCAACAGAACACTCCCACCTGCTATCAGCATATGCAACGATCCCTCTGATGCACAGCTGCATGGGACCTGCTCCGGAGCAGGCCATTCATTGATTTCAAGCATCCCACGCCCCAAACCCAGACGCATCTAGAACAGCTCGTCTTGATGTGTACACGTAGCTACCCACACAGTCCAAGCATACACTGTCAATAGTCAACAGTCGTAGGGACACGACGCCGGGGAGGATTGCTACTTGTATGTCGAGGGACTTGCACGTGAGCAATGAGAATACTTTGTCGTGTTAAAGCGGCACACCCTGGGCTCTCGCGTAGGAACTTCACGTTTATGACTTTAGAAAGACTTCTTTAGGCTTTAGGTGTTTCAGTCAGGGTCCAGTGCTTTCCCTTTAACGTACCATCGCCTCCGTGCAGCAGCCGGTCTTCGCGGAAATGATTTTCCTGAACTACTTGACACAAGAAGAATGGAGCAACTAGTGGGCAAGGGCCGGCTGTTTACGCTCCGTGTGTGTGTGTGTGTATTGTTGGGTGCCTATATATATATATATATATATATACACATGTATTCGTCTATGTGTATGTATGAACATGTCTGCAACCATGTCTGTATGTCCATATGTGCCTGCGTGTGTGCATGTACGTACGCATGTCTGCAACATGAAGCATGTGTATCCAGTTGCCCCAAGCCGCAACATGTACGAAGGCCGGCGAGGGTTGCAAACAGTGAAACTAGGCGTTGAGAACGGGCGAGCTTAAGGGCATAAGGATAGGGCCCAAGAAACCAGTTAGCGGTCGCAGACTACGGGAAGAGGTGTTGCGCTTTAGGGTCTCGTCGTAGGATTTACGGTAGAGTGTGCCTCGGTTGAGGAGCCGCGTGCCACAATGATAAGCGACATAAACCACAAGGAAAACCCCAGAATCTACGCCCCAGCCCCTCTCACTCGACTCGAACCGTCGGCTAAAATCAAAAGCGCAGGGAACCCTCGGAAATCACCTGCAAGACCCCACATCCTGAAGCTCCATCTCAACAAGACGTATAACGGTTTAAGGGTCAGGGTTTGGGGGGATATACCTGTGTTTGAAAAGACCACAGGCCCTAAAGCAACTCCAACTCTAAGCACACAGCTATGCATCTCGCCAGCAAGGACGTAGAGAGTCTACGGCCCCCAAATCCGAACCGTCACCCACTGAAGGCCCATGACAATGAAATATCCCAGGGCCCAAAATAAGGTAGGAACGGAACTTGCAAGCCTCAACTACAAAGCACCTCCTCCCTGGTGTCTGGGGAATCGAAATCATACCGGGCCGTATCGATAGCCCGATGGACACACAGAGACAGAAAACGCCTGCAAAAAACATGACAGAAACATTTAGAGACTTTGAACGAAACACACATGGAGAAAACAGTATATTCTGCCGAGTGTCTCCAACCAGTCCACTGCCCCGGTCGTTGGCTTCACCTGGGGTTTACGCCAAGTTCTTGACAGCCTGTAACTGCACCTCAACAGAACCACCGAAACCATCAAGCCACTGAGGAATATACCTCAAACAATGCTGCTTCAGGCGTTCTTGCTAATGAACGTACTTTAACCAATACGGGTAGCTATGTGATCGCCTTGGGGCTTCTTACTAGTTTAGAGCAATAAAAGCTTTTGGGCTGTCTGGGCTTCCTGGGGCCTGGAGCCTTAGACGCAAGGTCTGCAACCAGGTGGCGTCGTTCTTCTTCGCCGAATATCGGCTGATGGCCACGAGCTCCTCAGGGATCCGGACCAGGGCTGAGACCGAACAAACGGCGCCTGCAGTATAGGGCTTAAGCGAAGCCGCCGAATGCAAAATCTCAACCTCTCCGAAACATCAAACTAAATCCCACCCGTACAAATCCTAACCTGATCAGAACAGCCCCTCTTCCAAACCTCTCCAATCAAAAAGTTTCCTGAACAAACCCACAAACCCCCAAAACGCGCGCCAATAAACCCACAGCGCTCCTGGCAGCTGTAGTCCGCGAACTCAAAGCGGAAGGGAACCCGCGACTGGAAGCCGGGGTTCGTCTCAAAGAAAGCATCCATCTCCTCTTTAAGGAAGTGTTTTCGGGGTCTAGGGTTTAGGGTTTAGGGTTTAGGGTTGAGGGTTTAGGGTTTAGGGTTCGTCTCACAGAAAGCATCCATCTCCTCTTTAAGGAAGTGTTTTCGGGGTTCAGGGTTTAGGGTTTAGGGTTGAGGGTTTAGGGTTTAGGGTTCGTCTCAAAGAAAGCATCCATCTCCTCTTTAAGGAAGTGTTTTCGGGGTTCAGGGTTTAGGGTTTAGGGTTGAGGGTTTAGGGTTTAGGGTTTAGGGTTCGTCTCAAAGAAAGCATCCATCTCCTCTTCAAGGAAGTGTTTTCGGGGTTTAGGGTTTAGGGTTTAGGGTTCGTCGCAAAGAAAGCATCCATCTCCTCTTTAGGAGGCTTCGTTGCATTTTTGAGGGGAGGAGGGTGGGGGGGTTGGGGTTTTTATTGGGCTTTAGGGGTTGGGGTTTAGGGAGTAGGGCTTTGCTTAAAGGGGTTTAGGATGTTCGGAATTTCGGCTGCAGGGCTTAGGAGTTTCGGCTGTTGGGCCTAGAGGGTTTAGTCTCTCCTCTTCAGGGCGTTCAGCTTCAAAGGAAACAAGGAATCTTGAGTGAATCTTGTCTTACGCGTTGCAAAACGTTGGTCTTGTCGTTGGCTTTCTCCTCTTTTTAGTGAGTCTGTTCTTGGTTTTGCTGGCTTCCTGTTTGTTCTGGCGGAGCGTCCGCGGACACAAGCCCCACAACCTACAGCAAAGACCCCAGACTCCAACTCTTGATTCTCGGCTTAAGGCCTTTAGGGAGCTTGCCCGCTCTGCGACAAGGCCTTGGAGGTTTGAGGTTTTTGGGTAAACCCTGAACCCTAAACCGTGGGTTTGCGCTTCGGACGTCACTCTCTGCTGTTCTGGGGGTTATGTACGTTGAGGGGCACCTGAACCCTGAATCCCCAGCTCTAAATGCTGAAAGCGGTTTAGGGTTTAGGGTTTAGGGTTCTATTCTCCTAAAGCCTTAAGCTTTCAACTCTAAACCCCAAATAGGCGCTGAACCATCAGTCTCAAGACCCTCCAGCCTTAAGCCACTGTAACCTGGTGTCCCATAGAGTCGCAATATAAGCCCTACTGTAGAAATTCTAGGGGCACTACTACAAAGTCATGGATGGTTAACGTGCGCCATGAAACACTACCCATCCACACGCGTCTGAAGCCAAGAAACCCTAGAAGCCCCACAAACCCTACAGAAGCCTATCAAAAATCCTGGAATCCAGAAACTCTAAAGCTCCAAAAACCAGAAACATGCTTCTGTGGTCCTTCTGATACCCGGCGAAGATGACGATGAGTTTGTCTCGATTATCTTCAATCTCCTGCTGGACAAAAGCTCCGAGCTTCGAGCTTCGGGGTCCCTTTAAGGGCTGCACAGAAAAGGGCTTTTAGGGTTTAGGCTTTTAAGGTTTAGGGTTTTAGGTTTGAGGTTGAGGGTTTTAGGATTGGCTGATTATATTGGGTTGTACATAAGGGTCTCATGGGGTGCAGAGGGGTTCTGTCACGCTTCTTACAGAATTTAGGACTTGAGGCTTAGGGCTTCGAGTGTTCCTATCATGTTTTGTGTCTTGACATTCGCATCATCGCCGGACTTTAGCACGCCCAACTACTCTGCACCTTCAACTTCTTCAAGACTCGGTTGGTGGTCATTCTGGTGCCTTCCGCAAGGCTTCTGGTCTCCGTGTCATCTCAAAGTCGTGCAGACAAAGCCCAGCTTGCTTCTCCATTTAGCGGCAGCATGCCATGATTCGAAAAAAAAACCGTGATGCCTCCACTGTTGTCTCGACATTGCTGACTTGCTTTGCGAGCGTCGACCGTGACGATTCGATCCATCCCAATCATGGCAGTCTCAGCAGTACTCCGTCAAGAGTTTGGGCTTGAGATTGTCGGTCGATCCCCGAGACTCTGGGACTTGCCGGAGATGCTCAGACAAACCGATTTGAGGTTCAATTCTTGGATCGGGCTCTGGATGAACATATTTCACTTATTGTATGAACTTTAAATGATTCGAGGAGGCTAAACCCTAAACCCTAAAACTCCCTTTCCCTCTTCACCTTGGTGGCGTGCAGCCTTGCCGCCAAAGTCCGATGGAATTGAGCTTTTCGTTCCTTCCTGTCCTGCTCGGCCAGCTCCGACTCCAGCTCAACCCTTTGTTTTTGCGGCCTGTTGGTCGCATGCAAGCTGAGCCTTGACCTCCTCAATCGCCTTCTCCTCGGAAAAGCCGTGGGCCACCAGCATCGCTAAGTGCAGGACGGTGGCTTTATGCTTTGGAGTCCTGAGCAAAATGCCGAACTGCTTCGTAAAGACTCCGCAGTCATGGCCGCTGTTTGTTTTCAGGGCCAAGCACCGGGGGCAGTTCAGCATGCGTTGAATGAGTCTGCGACAGTTGTCACAGAAACAGTGGGGCTTGCCTTGAGGCCACGACTCCTTAACGGCTTTGAACTCGTCGGCCCAAGCAGTCAACGTCTCCTTGGCCTGGGTGAGTTCAAGGAATGGTGCAAGCGAACAGCGTGTTTCCAGGCTCGAGTGATCAGGCGTTGCCAAAGGCCTTGTTGCTGAGCATACATTGCGAACAAATCAACATCGATATGCTGAGTTGCTTCCAGAAATGCTCCCAAAGGGTTAGGCACTGGTGGAGCTGGCTCCCCTCCGCCAATCATTTCCACTTCCTCGTCTTCCGAGTTTTCGGGCGAAGCGACAGGCCCAAGTCCCATCCCGTCCTCAGCTGGCAATACACCATCACCGTCATCCGAAGCAGCAGGAGCACCCTCCCTTCCAGGACTTGCCTCACTTGGCGAGATGTCCTCCAGCTCATCCGGGCCCGTAAAAACTAGCAATAATGCCAAATACGGGTCAAACGAGCTGTCGGGAAGGAGAAGCCCATCATCCGACTCCTGCTTAGAGCTGCCACGCAAGCTTTCGGCCAAAGCATGCGCGAGAAATTGATCATCCAGCTCCTGCTCTTCGGACATAGTCTGCTCAAGAAGATCATCCAGCTCCTCCGACGGCTCTTCCTTTGCTTCCATGCCGTGTGCTTGAACGGCTAGGAGCAACAAAATTCCGCATCTCCATGTGAACATGTTTGCGCGGGATCAAGGCGGAAATCAGCCACAAACCTACCAAAAGCGCTTTCCCGGCAGCGGCATTAAGAGTACATATACTTTGGAAGAGCAACAAACCAACCAAAGCTCCGTCATTGCAGGAGCATCATGTGTTCTGCCAGTATCAGCAGCATGTGTTTTGCCATCAACATGTTAATGCACACATGTGTATGCATCCGGAGCCTTATTAAAAGGTTTCACTGCAACAACGTCACGAGCATCATCCGCTCGGACACCGAAATCTTTCGCGCACATGTTTGTGCACCGCCTCTCTATGAAGGGGTAAAGTCTAAGGATGTCCATGGTCAGATTCCCAACCCCTTAACCTCAAAGCGTGAACCCTAAAGCCTAAACCCTATACCGCCCTAGAAGCAGTTTACACAAAAAGAACTCAACCCTGTGATCACCGAAAAAACCTGAATCCTCAACTCTGCACACCCCTAAGAGACAAGAAACCCCACGGATAAAAGAAGCGTCCGGGTCTCCTGGACTCAACCCCACAGGCCCCACTCGTTCACATACCCACATAGTATGTACTTTTTGGCCTACAGTTACCATCATGGAAGACCTTTAGAATTCATATCGTATAGGTATAAGTACATCGACACTTCGGGAAAGTTTCGGAGTGGTCGGGCTTATTGGCTCCTTGCACACACTGGAGTCGAACCCCCAAACCCTTTTGAATGCCAAGTTTGTCTTCGTCAGCCCAGCTACCAACCCCTAACCTGTTTTGAGGCCTACACCCTTGTGAAGCCTAATGGCCTTAACACTGTCGGCGCCTAAGCCTTAATTGTGAGCAGCAAGTCACCCAGAACGCTGAACCGAGTTTCCTTGATGAGGGTGTCAACGGCTTCTTTGCCAAACCTCATTGCAATCGACACAAGGATTCCGGAATCAAGGGGTGTTCTTTGACTTAGAGTATCTTAGTATTGCTTCCGGAAGATTCCTTGATTACAGGATTTTATGTGCTTCTGTTTCTGAAGTTGCATACGGCTCCATCCTTTAGATTGTGTACGGCCCTTTACTATGGCGTCAGGAAAATCTTTACTTACGGATAGGGAGTTACTTGACTCTCCAGCAGAAGCATCTCAAAAAAGACACACAACAAACACAGAATCACAAGCAAGCCCGAAAAGGCAAAGACGTGAACATCGCAAAAAAGCTCCTTCCAGATGCAGGACGGAACCACGGTTTCATAAAATAGTTGGAGCTTTTCGTCCATATGGCATCTGACGGAGTGGAGAATACTACAGCACATAGCCTCGATGAAGAGTGGTGGGGCGTTGGGTAGTATGGGGGCCTTTGTGTCATGATTCGTATGAGGCTTGGAGTATAACACAGTAAGGTTAGATGAAGACCACCACGTGATATAGTTGCGAATCATTCAGAACTCCATCTTGCGTTCTTCCTGTTTCCAGCCAGCAAATGGCTTTCTGAGCGTGCACGGTTTGGGATTGAGCCTTTCGAAACCTGATCGACCACTTTATAGAACCTTCACTAAAAAGAACGGTCAGGATTTGCTATTGATTTGATTAGGTGTTTCAGGGAATTCGAGCTAGGGGTCTAACGACTCAGGGGTTTCGGGTGGAGGGTTTGGGATGTTGAGTCCCATACTGAGGGGTGTATTGCCGAGAGTTTCGGTCTATTGTGTTTGGACCTGACGATTCATGGAATGAGACTGTTGTGCTCTTCCGTCTATCGAGGACGGAACGGATTTGGGGACGGTGGTGGCCTGCTACTACGGCCATCTTCTGCCCTGGTCATGGAGCTATGAGGTTCTAGAAACTGGACCCTAAACTCTAACCCTAAACCCTGAACCTAAACGCCTAAACTCTAAACCCCCAAGTTGAAAGATTCTCTGGTAAGAAACCCTCAAGTGCATGGCAAGCAGCGGATCGTTTTTGGCCAGGACGATGGAATAGGCCTCATTTCAAGGCTTAGGGTGGGGAGTTAGGATGTAGCTAGTGTTGTGGCTTTGGGATTCAGGGCTTCAGGTACCCTAGTACAGAGCCGAATGTATATGCAAGACGCTAGACAGGGACAACTTTGTGATGTCCCTCATCCTGGTTTGCGAGGGAGTCTAATGCCCTTGCGGTCCTTGCGCCAGGAAGAGTGTCTGCCTAAACCCTAAACCATAAACCCTAAACCCTAAACCCTAAACCCTAAACCCTGAACCCGAAACCCTGAACCCGAAACCCGAAACCCTAAACCCTAAACCCGAAACTCCTAAACCCTCAACCCTCATTTCAACCCAGTTTGGGATCAGCTTGACAATAGAAGCAGGGCGAAGGCCTCATCGATGAAGAGCACCCCGCCAAAGGCCGACTTGACTGCCTGGATGACCTCTTCCAGAGCTCCCCCCGGCAGGCCCGGATAAGGTTTAGGGTTTAGGGTGTAGGGTTTAGGGTTTAGGGTTTAGGGTTTAGGGTTTAGGGGTTTAGGGTTTAGGGCTTAGGAATTGTAAGGATTATAGGTTTAGGGTTTAGGGGTTTAGGGTTTAAGGTTTAGGGTTTACCTCTTCCAGAGGCTGCCTGTTGCTTAGTAGGGAAAGGGGGAATGGGTTATAGGGGCTACTATAAGGGACCTTATACGGGACTACCATAGGGATTCCATTCCCTTCCAGAGGTTCCGGTCTACTGTACCCACATTTACGAACTTGGGAATGAGGGTTTAAGGGTTTAGGGGTTGGGGGTTTAGGGTTTTGACATGTACGAACTTAGGAGTTGGGGTTCAGGGTTTAGGGGTTTGGGGGTTTAGGGTTTTGGGGGTTTAGGGGTTTTAGGGGTTCTACGACCCTATTTAGACTTTTTGCTTTTGGGGGGAGCGGTACCATAGCGCTACGGGCAACCCCAAGGTCTGGCGTCAGTGGCAAATTAAATAGAAGCCTAAATGCTTAAAATCGGCTTTCGGCTTTAAGGTTTAGGGTTTAGGGTTTAGGGTTTAGGGTTTAGGGTTTAGGGTTTAGGGTTTAGGGTTTAGGGTTTAGGGTTTAGGGTGGGGTTTGGGGGGGTTCCTTTCAAGGGCCCCTTGAAGGGGGCTCTATAGGGGCTACTATCAGGGTTTAGAGGCCTTAATAATCAAAATAGGGTCTTGGGGCCCATTATGCTAGACCTACAATAAGAAACCCCCCACAATAGTATTGGTAACTATTTAGGCCCCTACACCGTAAACCCTAAACCCTAAACCCTAAACCCTATAAACCCTATAAACCCTAAACCGACACTATCCACGGAGGGCTGGGGCCGTAAAGCTTACGGACGGCTTTGCGGCTTCAGGACGGGCTACAGAGCCAGAGGTTGCCAATTGAGGTTGCGGACTTAGGGTTTAGAGTTTATTGGGTTTTGGGTTTTGAGCTTAGGGTTTAGGGTTTATAGGGTTCAGGGTTTAGGGTAGTGGGCTTAGGGTTGTGGGTTTGGTTGGTGGGGTGAAAACGCTTCGACTTGTAGGACTGGTCGGTGCCCAGACCCTCTAAGGATCCAACAGTGGATACCTTCAAGAAGGCCCTAGTTTAGGGTTTAGGGTTTAGGGTTTAGGGTTTAGGGTTTAGGGTTTAGGGTTTAGGGTTTAGTATCTTAACCCACAAAATGGCAAGGTGTGCTCGGGGGGCGGGGGGGTTGGGCTGAGGCGCTGGAGGGTTTTTCGGGGTTCAGGGTCTAGGTGTCAAGCTGATAAGCTTAAAGGGAACATGCAATCATCTGCCTCTGCAGCATCCGAACAAAAAAGCGCACGCTTGTGCCCTTGTCACCGATGCTGCTCCAGAAGTTGGGAAAATCAGGCTGAACTAACATCCGAAAACCCAAACCTGAGCCCACAAAAAGACAGGGAACGGTGGAACCTGGTGTTGTTAGATGCCCCCATGCATGCTACCCCTGCAAGCCTTTCTATAACCTCATGGGAAGCTACCTGGACCTGTCCCAGAGATGTACCCCATGGAAAAAAAAGGTGTTAGGAGGTGAACGTATTGCGCAGACCCTAACCCTACACCCTCAACCCTAAACCCCTAAATCCCTAAAACCCTAAAAACCCTCAAAACCCTAAAACCCTAAAAACCCTAAAACCCTAAAAACCCCAAAAACCCTCAAAACCCTACAACCCTCAAAACCCTCAAAACCCTCAACACCCTCAAAACCCTCAAAACCCTACAACCCTAAAAACCCTAAAAAACCCTAAAAACCCTACAACCCTGGCCTTGGGCGCCGTTTGCCCACTGTACTGGGCGATGAGATCTGGTCGGGACACCTGAACCCTAAACCCTAAACCCTAAACCTGCGCCGTGTCGGTCGTCGGGGTTGGGTGCCGAGGACTTGACCCTAAGGCTCCCTGTGCCTATAGGGTTTATAGGGTTTAGGGTTTAGGGTTTAGGGTTTAGGGTTTAGGGTTTAGGGTTTAGGGTTTAGGGTTTAGGCAGCTTATAGGGGACCCCAGAAAGTTGGAACATGGGTTTAGGATGATTAGTGCTGGGATTCTTCTCTATGCTGTACCTTAAGGGCATAGGGAGAATGATGCTCCAACTTTCTGGCTTCTACTGTATACTTACGCCTGAGTATCTATATAGGAGGTCCTTAAAGGTACAGTACATACTTAGGCCACCTTAGGCCTTACGATACCTATGTAGGAGCCCCTTTAAGGCCTAAGTCTATACTAACTCGGCACATGGAGCCTTAGGCAATGATTACGTAGAGGCTCCTGGCAGGGTCAGGGGCCTTGGTACGTAGGTGAGAGGAGCTGCAAGTCCACTTAAAGCTTTAGGGTTTACGGTTTCGGGTTTAGGGTTTACGGAGGTAGAGTTGCCAGTCGCCTTTGCGGGACCTTAATGGGGGGTTAATCCTACTTAGAACCCCACTGTACAATTACATGATAAGTCCCCCGACCCTCCAAGTAGGGCTTAGGGTTTAGCTGTTGAGACCTCGGCTCGCGGATTTTGG